GAGAGAGAGAGAGAGAGAGAGTACGTGAGAAAAGGGGGTATGGGTGTATGTCTGTAATGGTGTGAGCTTTTTTCATGATTGCCTATTTGTTCAAATTATGTTATGAGGGTACTTGTGCATTAGGGTAATATTTAGCCACCCTTGTAATTATTATTGTAATAACACTCGAAATACAGTTGTGTGAAAAAAAAGAAAAATTAAGACGTAAAGCAGAATCAAAGCAGTACAAAAGTCATCAACTGAAAACACATTGTCATGAATATCGTTCTGGCTGTTTTGTTTAGGGTTTTCATGCTATATTTTCGCCTGAAATTATGCAATTCTCAAATCGGTATCTGGTTTGTAGCGGTTATGTGTCTCACACAGAAGATACGAGTTCCTGTGACGTGTGGGGAACAATTTGTATCTCAGTTTTGCTGCTGGAATAATGTATCCCTCTCAAACCGGGTTGGCCTTGACAGGTAGGGATTGAAGCCGTTCCCTAAAAGATCTTAACTGTGTCGATGAGGACAAAAAAGATAGCCATAACGATGAATTTGACCAACTGGTTTCCCAGTCATGGCGGAGAAGAAGAGCTGAAACAAAGAAGCGACTTACAGGGTTGACTAAACAATAATTTTCTCTCCAACCTCATTTTGATCTTCTAACCTTCGTATCGGCGACAAGCTGTTCCAACGTTCTAAACCTATAGAATATTTCATATTTTGAAGAGAGAAAGAAGAAAAAACTTCGAAAAATATTTGTACCTGTAGTATGTATCGTTTTGCATTTGAAAAAAATAGAGCTTGAATTTTGACAAAATATTTCTCGGGCACAGGCAACTTATGCCACTCATTAAGAAACCAATTTTTTTTTAAATCAAAATTGTTGACACATTATAATATTTGAACAGCTGGCAAGGTCACATGCCCCATTCTAAATGAACCGAATAATGTCGCTGGGAGTGTAAAACATCTACATCCGAAATAATATCCTTACCATATGTTTCGCTTCAGCATCAAAGTTGTCTTTGATGAACATCCGTCCGACTGCGAGTCCAACGTAAGAGGTGGTGTACGCCGCACATTTCCTGAAGCGAGCCATTTCTGAGCTGATGCCATAGATAGCCTGAGAATAGAAGGCGCATGGAGCAAAACTTAAGGTATAGAAATATAGTATTGATAATGTGGATATTTCCATAACGTATACTCCTACATGATCATGTACAATACAGCTCTAGGCGATTTACGATACCTTCATCTTAACATAATTAACTAAATATTATTATAATGAGCGCATGAACGTGCATACATACGCTTTTTAGATTAACATTAACGCACATGCAGACATCCATACTTTTACAGAAAATGATACTATTATAGCACAATTGATGACGATATGCACATATGAGTACTATGAATAAAAAATGCTCTCTGTTCTTAATTGGGATTTATTGAAGTCTGTTTTTAAATGAATGTTACATTTTGTCTCCAACTTTCAATCTCTCAAGTTATGTTGCGAGAACGAGCTCCTAGCTCCAACTACCCCACCCCCCTCTCAATATTTATATCAATATTAAGTTTCCTTCCTCACATAATCATAATATAAAAGTATACACAATCATAGAAAAACAATGACCCAAAAGAAACCCATCTAAGGCAAGTCACACTACTAGAGAGGGAATATACTTTTTTTTTTTTAAACAGCGCGTCCCCAGAAACGAGATGGCGCCTGCTTACCTTTCTGTAGACACGGATAAGCTCTTGGTACGGTTCCCCTTGGGTGCTCAGAAGTTGGAGAGCAAATCTCCACACGACATAATTAGCCAGTGTCCTGACAAGACAGATACCAGAATTGGTTGATTATACAGATGCTACGTACTTCACAATACAATTAGGATCATTTGGGAAATAGACTGCCTGTATATCAAAACAGAAAGAAGGAACATGTTGACAGTTTACACACTCTGTTTCGAAATAAATAACTCTTCTTTAAATCTTTGCTTTGGGGTTGTTGTTGTTTTTGGGTTTTTTTTAGTGTAGTACTAAACTATAACATATTTATTGAAATACGATGATGTTAGTGCTGCTGTTAGTGATGATGATGATGATGATGATGATGATGATGATGATGATGATGATGGTGCTGAGGATGATGATGATGGTGATGATGATGATGATGATGATGATGATGATGATGATGATGATGATGATGATGATGATGATGATGATGATAATGATGATAATGCTGATGACAATAACAGAGACGATTTCAATTTCAATAACGATATAATTTTTCCAAGCCATGACACCAACCTTCTGTCTGTGCCCTGCAGAACCTGCGTAAGTCTCTTGTAGTAGGGTGGTGACAGGTTGATGATGACCTCGTCATCGCTGATGTCCGTGATGCCAATGTCCGGCATGGTCATCACTCGAAACACGTAAGACCGCCAGTCGAAAGCCTAGCAAACAGAAAACGTAAACACTACAAATTTCTATCTGACATGTTTGGTCGTTTAGAGTTACTAAGACCATGAGGTCAGCAACCAAATGTTTTGTCTTCCCTATGAAAATCATAAGATTATTCGGAATCTTTAAAAACATTTTCAAAGAATTACATGCAATAAAAGATTGAAATGTTGTGAAACTAGATTTTTTTTAACGTCAAATTTCTCAAAACCAGATACTGGGCTGATAGAACTTTGTAATTCTAAGCTGGCGAAAAAGAAACATTCAGATTGAACCATCATGTGTGATTTAATTGTGCAACAAGAGGAGTGAAACGTACTACAACTGACTTTCGCCTGTCCCCTGAATTTTTTTTTCCTCCCTTTCCTTAAAACTGGTTAGTTGTTTCGTTTCCAAAATAAAGCAGCGTCTGGTTTCTTGTACTGAAATTCCAATTATGGAGAGTTGGGTTTTTTATGGTTTTTTTTAGTTTTTGTTTTGCTCAAGCTATAGAATTCACCTTTGAAAGCACTGCCTTTATAAAAATGTTACCAAATAAACAAAATTGACACTCATTTAATTGTGTCTTAACTTGTGAGGATAGACATACTCTTACCTGGCTGTAGTTCCCGTGCACGTCTCTCAGCGTCATTGGGTTGTACAGTGTGTTCGCGTCTCTGCGTTCTTCGTCCGGCACTGAGATCTGAAAGCATAGGTTTTAGGTAACATTAATACAGACCAACTTGGAGAGCCTATACAGATGGAAGATGGGTGACAGGGATAGATCAAGATAGTATAGCTTTTGTTTGAGCATCCAAGCCACGGAATGAAGGGAGAACCAAGATCACCGGTGTCTGAAGCAGATATGACACTTGATAATGATGTGTAACTTTATGATTGCAATAGTAATGATAGCCTCCTTCACACTACCATAGCTTAAAAATATTTACCCAAGACGTGATAAAAAGGAAAGGAATGACAGATCTTGTCAGTGTGTTAGTGTTAAATCGCATCTAATACGCAGCTTTCACTGTATGCTTTCCGGTAAGCCCAGAATGTGTCTGATTGCAGTACATTCTGCTAGTAAAATTAATTAATTAATAGCACATAGAGCATGAGGTAAAACACGGGCATAATATGCTACATTAAAAGATAAAATAGCATTTAAAGAGCACAGGGTAAAAACGACTGTAGCCATAAACAGAACATTGTGAGGGTCCGCATTTTAAAAGATTAATATGTACTCATAACTTCATATTTGTTTGACTGGTGATTTATTGTTAAGTGCTGTTGAATAAGAAATATAACAACAATGATCAACCAACAGTTGAACAGAAATACGGTCATGAGCCAACAAGCGTTCAAAATTGGTACCCTCGCGATTTTCAGTTTGTGACTGCAATCGTTTTTCACCTGTATTTATATCGCTCATATTCCCACTCAACAGCATGTCCTATGGGTTTTACAGTTTATATTATTACCCCAGCGGACCCTATAACACTGAGAAAGATCCTCAGCTTCACAGAAAGCATACAGTGAAGGAAGAAGATTAGACTCTCAAATACTTACAAACTGATAAGATCGTCCGCTGTCTATGGCCGAGTATTCATTCCCAACCGAGCGAAGTGAATAAAATTCAATTAAAGTGCAATGGACATTAAGTTGGGCCCTTGGTGGGGTTTGAACAAACGATCTTTTGTTTGCGAACACAACAGCTTAACCACAATACAATCAGTGCCACGAAATCAATCATTATATAACAAGTAAAACCTCACATTTATCAAGGAATACAAACAGTCAGAACATAAACAAAATAGAGCTTCTGCGTCACCAGGGCAGGCTTGGTTGACAATAATCCTTCTAGAGATTTTGTGATAATCATTAATTTGCTAATTGAGCTCCCATAACCTGTATCTGAGATTCGTCTATAACATTATTAGTGTGTTATGGTCTTACATGTTTCAGTATATAGACAGACTTACTTCTAATCCCATTTTGATAGTTTATTCCTACGCACTGCAAAGACGTCAAGGAGGAGCAGATTTCAGAGA